CCGATCGTTTCGGTATACATGCAGTGTAATAATTTCCAAACAGTTGAGCGGAGCAAATTACATCATTCAACCACGTTTCGGTAAGAATGATAACATCATACTCCACATTTGACACAGCCAAAAACTGATCATCGACAGACCGACATGTTGGTAGTAAACTGTGATGTAGCTCGCGTTGCAATGATGTGAGAACTCGATGTTCGGCGTTGAAGTGTTAAATATTGATGAAATCTCCATTCGTTGAAGGCTGATCAACGAAGAGCACTGGGTTCGAGGGTTGTTCAGATGTAATTGTATTAAAAAAAGATAGTAGTGACTATGCGTAGTATCTGTGGGCACTTCGGGATGGACATACACCCATTAATTCATTATCTGACAGTAACGTTAATACCATCGCTGGAACAGTAGGCCTTTCGAGTGAACCAGTATTGGCATCTACATCTGGGGCAAGCGTTATAATTTCAACAGTTTCGCAGGTTAGTAAATCCCTCTGCTTGGCTAGTTTTTGCGCCTTGCTGTTGATGGGCGGGCTTAATTTAATGCTTTATAGTGGAGTGTTGGAGACGGTAGGTTTATGGCCGGCGTTACTGGCTCATGCCGCCATTGGATTGGCGCCATGGGCAGGTGATGGAGATTACTGAGCTTCCCCTCTCTGATAAACCACTGCATGAGAGAACCAAAGATCTAGTCTAGCAGTGATAGTATCACACTTGTTACTCCTTTAATTGAGAACCGCGTCGTAGTACGCTTACGTATAGGCACTGACGTTGGGTGAGATACTGGCGGGTTTTGCCGCAAATCACTCTTATTTATTTTTACGCAGATAGATTTATTTGGGTTTGCAAGGGAATTATACTATTGAAATATTTCAGAAAGTGTCCAACAGTGCTCCTTCTACTTGCGTGACAAGTTTTCATTGTTTTATTGAGGTATTACTCAGGAAACAATGTTAAACACCATTTTTGTACATGGTATTGTAACTAATCTTATATGTGCTTTATTTTGATTTGAGATATAGTAAGTGTTTGAACTATGAACTATGGATTTCCACTGTGGCGTGCTTCTATTGTGACATACTCATACGTATTTTTGTGGTGCGACATAGTGGAAGCGTGTGAGCATAGTTGGAGCATATACTCTATATAATTTAGAAAATCAGCTAGGAAACTAACTCCAAAGTGCAACATTTTAGTCACTTGAAGGGATCACTTGGGTCGAACTAAGATATAATAAATAGGTATAGGTTAAAATCAAAAGTACTTGAAACACGTTTAACTTAAGATAACAAGCACAAGTTCAGGTACTTAATAAAGCATAGGTTATGATTGATTAGGTGAATAACAGATTTCATTTATTTATTAAATTAGACTAATGAGATATCATAATCATCAAACGAACTTAAATAAGAAAATTCAGAAAGTCTAATAACATTAAGTAGATTAACAAAGGAATTAGGATGCGGGGGGTTCGCTTAGGGATGCAACTAACCTTTAAAGTTGTATAATAAATTTTCCTATTTAGTCTTAGCAAACCAATAGCATTTAGCAAATTAACAAGGAGAGGAATAGTTTAGGAAATAGGTAAAAGTAGTGGTATGTGACAATTGATAAAGTTTAATCTTTTGTAGGTATTGTTTTCCCCTGAGTTTACTCGATAACTATATTATTCTATCAACGCGCCTACGTCTGCGGAGCTTACGCAGAAGTGATACGCAATTCGGTAGAGCTTGTCAATCGCTTTTGAGCTTATGTAGTATAGAACTTGTTCGGTACGGTCGCGAAATCTTGACATGATTGATACGTTCTTTAAATTAACTAATTTGCGACAAAGCTCAGTAGTAAATAAGTAGAATATCTAGGGAGGAAACCAAAATTAAACAACTTGTCAACATAGGCATTTATTTTGGTGGCACTCTTTAAATGATAATAAGCCTTTTTTCTCGCTTCGGTTGTCTCGCACGGCTTTCGGAATTCGCCAAAATTTTCAATAGCAACCAAAAATATCCATTAGCACCGTCCCAATGACGCGTTCATCTAGATAAAATTGATAAATACCAGCTTTTTAACGATGGGTCCAATCTTAGATGCATAGGCCAACATTAGAGCCATCTTTAAAACTGTTAAAACCCTCAGAACTTTTTTTTTTGTATAACAGGGTTAGTGGCCCTAATGTCTGTATAATTATCTCTAATATTGGGCCCATACATGCATTTCGAAAGAAAGCATTTTTTCTGAAAAACTAACACTAGCAATATTGTCCAGGAGCTGAATTCCGGGTATAAATTTCATCGAAGAGGTATAAATTTCTACATAGGGAAAATGGATGTAATGTCGGCCTAAATGCCACTAATTTGGGCCCATACATGAATTCAGCAATCGACAAAATTTTCAATAGCGACCAAAAATATCCATCACTACCGTCCCAATGACGCGTTCATCTAGATAAAATTGATCAATAGCAGATTTTTAGCGATGGACCCAATCTTAGATCCATAGGCCAACATTAGAGCCATTTCCCCTATAAGGTATGTGTAGAATTTTTTTTATCTTTATGATGAAATAGATGCGCGAAATTTAGCTGCAGATGACGCATCCCAAGTAGCATTTCAAGAGACACACGTGAAAAGGGCATACAAGCTTTTTGTAAACAAACCTTTATAGGCCCTTTTCTCGCCAACTTTTTTGTTTTGCTTTATTAAAGAGATTTTCCCTAATGCTTACATTGGATGGAAGCAGAACAGAAAAGCATAATGCATGATTTTATTTCGAGCACTATTTTCTTTTTACAAGAGCAATTCATTTTTTTTTATTTGAGGGTAAACGTAGAATAAATCTACGGGTGCAACCGATGAATTTTACAAACATTTGGAAAAGTTTTGGATGGTACATTAAACTTTATGAAAAGTTATGCATGATTTCAACTTTAATGTCCTAGAACTGTCACCATTCCATGTATTTCGACCAAGATTCGACAGTGTCACCCCATGAAAAAAAGGAAAGAAAAGGAAAGAAAATTTTCAATGCTGATTGTTGAATTGTTGTGACCATCCACGACTGTAAATCTGATAAGAGACGCAAGTTGGCATAGGTATCATCCTTCGACTCCAGATAATTATATATTTCCTCTTCATGAGTCATTTGTGGTATAGCAATGTGTCCATTCGAAGTGAAGATGGTTCAGAATGGTGAGGATGCACACTCTTTACAGCTTCCATTGTGACATCCGCAGAAAATGCAGCGGCATTTTTTTTTTCTAGGTTGGAGTTATTCACGAAGGTTTGCGGCTGACTGTAGCAAATAAACGGGCACATGCTAAACATTTTGTTGATTTTCTTTGCGCTCCGCTTGGAAGTACCGGAAAGTTTTGATTCATTCTTTGTTGTAAACATAAACCGCCCATTTACACTTCTGACAAGTTGCAACTGAATGCTTATAATTGTTTTTAAATAACTGTTTCATGGCTAACTAGTTTTATTGCGCTTACTTATAGCAATAAAAGGATTTATTTTTGGGTTTTATAAGGGCAATTCATATTGCTTTTTTTTATACTTCAAGGCAATTATAAAACCTTTCATAAGTGAAAATAGCATAAGCAACAGTTGGTTTTTGTTATTAGCTTTATAGGGGTTTTGTAGATAGCTATGAGAATGTTCCATGACTTGCATTGTATATGACCGTCATAAAGCTGTAGGTAATGATTGCAGCTGCAATAAAACCTTTATAAATTTTGAATATAGCCAAGCAGCTCTAGATTTGCTACTTGGGCTGTTACGCTCTAATTTCAGCTCTATAAAGAATTTAGTGAATTTCGATATTTTATGCTGATTTTAGATATTTTATGCTGACAACGCTATCTCGCAAGTGACAAAAACATCGCCTGCATCTGCAAGCGGAATGTTCTAAAACAATTAACAAAAAAAAAATCATTTTTCAGAGATGTCAACATGCGTTCCTCCTTAGGTGCGACACGCTCTAAGGTAGGAGGGGGCTGTATAGAAATGTTTGACAACCAATGTTTAAGGTATAAGAAAAACGTGACGAAAGGGTGGCGAATGCTCCCTACCCATTCGTTAAGGGGCCATTCAATAATTACGAAAGCACTTAGGGGGGAAGGGGGGGTTAAACATTTTCTTACGTTTTCTTACATGGGATGGAGGAGGAAACATCTTACGTAAGCATGACTATGTCATATTTATACACACCATTCAAATATTCGATTGAGATCTTACAAACGAGAGGAGGGGTTTTGTAAAATATATAAATCTTGAAATGGGGGTAGTGGAGTGCTTAAGTAATTATTGCATGCCCCCTAAATTATTTGTCAAACCTGCTGGCCGTGATATTATCACCTACCAATCACACATTTAACTCAATGGTAATTATTGTATCATTGCGTGGCCAAAAAAATAATTTGTCTTTTTCGTAAAGTATATTTTCCGTACATTTTCTATAAAGTTTTTAATTCATTTTTTCCTCAGTTCTTTCAATGCTCTTAACGGTTTTTGTTTGTTTGTTTGCTGTTGTTGTTTTGTTGTTGTTGTTGTTGTTACTGCTGTGTGTGTGTATCTGCCATGTGTGTAATTTGTTTTTAAACTCTTGTGGGTATGTGAGAATGTAAACGCTATTTTCCTTCGCTTTTTTTTCTGGTAGTTTGCGTAAGCTTCAAATTTCGATTCTTTTTTTTTATTTTAATAAAACGCAATGCTCAACATTTTCGAAAGAGGCAAAAACCGAAAAACAAGTTTGATTAGAAGAAACGTACGTCTTTGTGTGGGAGGGAAATTCGATCCTGTCCAACAACAGACGCTTGTGTGTATGTGTATGTGTTTCCTCGTGTTTGTGTATGTTTGTGTGTTTATGTGTTTGAGAGAGAGTGTTAATTATTTGTTTGGTGTTTTGAGTGTTTGTGAGTGAGTGAGAATTGAGAGTTTATTCAATAAACCTAACCATTTCAACAGGAGCGCAGCTTCTAGGAAGCCATGCACGATTCCTACACCTGACTTCTTTGTTTTTGTGGATGTGTATTGTTTTGTCATTTTTCGTTTTTATCACTTTATCATAACCATCCTAGATTTTTGTTTTGTTTTCTCTATTCATTAATTAGCATTCACTAACGTCTTTTCCCTCGAATTTACTCCTTTGGAAAATTAATTTACTTCTGAACAATAGTTAATACTGCTCAACTGCTAAACAAATCTTTGACTAACTTATTACTTACAGATGGGCTTACAAATGTTGCTCGTTTCGAGTATTTACGTTTTGGTACTTCAACATAATGCCACCTAAGGAGGGGAATTGGTATGAAAAATTGCATCTAAGAAAATGACGAAATCATCTTCGAATTGAAATTACTTAATGGTAATAAATTCCTAAAAGTGTGTGAGATTTAGCATTTTTGCCGTATCAGCTCTAGGTTTGAATTGATAACAACTAAAAATGGAGCATTCCATTTCGCTTCATTTTGGTTTCGTTCGTTTTGTCACTCGCGCGCTGTCGGGCTTAATCACTGCGTTTCAACTATGCGTGTTTGTTTGTTTGTTGTTGTTTTTTTTTGAGTATTTTTCATGATTTTTCTGGTAATATTTGCTTTTCTCTTTTTGCTCATCGTAAAAATCTGCTGATATTTTTTTTTCGTATAAATTATGCTCATTATTTATATGAAAAAATGTACAGTTGTTTTGTTTTTGGTTGCTGTTTCCATTTTGTTTACGGAACCGATTAATATAATTAAAGATCAACATCTGAAATTATTTTCAAGCAATATTTACAATCAACATTATACGAGTTTTTTGTTTGTTTGTTTTTCGGCTAGAGGAGGAGCTAAAGTTGGTTTTGTTTGTTGTTTTGGTTTTTTTGCTAGACTATTACTGCTGCTAAACGACTATCTCGCGTCCGTCTTAAAGTATGCGTTATTGAGGCTTGTCTTGACTCATGGAGTGTTTACTATCCTGGAAGGGGTCGAGCAACGGTTAAGATTTGACGTTTGATCAGAACAAGACATTCGCTTACCTGATCAATTTCATCCAACGACTCGAGCTTGGCGATTGGAGCGAAAATGTTCCAATTGTGACCCTCCGGGGTGTCTTCCATTGGTTGATTAAATGAAGAAAACTTTGAGCACCTGCAAGCAATCGAAGCAACCGTTGATTTATTAGCAAAACCATCAACAAAAAGGTGATGACACATCCAAGCAGGCCCCACTCACTTGAAAAGGCTTTTCTCGTTGGCGCACTCGGGCTGCGAGACGGACCGTTGCACGTTGGTCCGCAGCTGCGGCGCTAATCCACCATGCTTGGCTATACTGCCGCTGGCGGCATCTCCGGCACCGGCACACATGTCGAAGGAGAAATCACTCTCGGACGGTTGATACGATGACATCGCAGTCTTGCCGGACTGCTGCATCTGCTGCTGCTGGTGGTGCAGCTGCTGGTGATGAAACTGCAGCTGCATCTGCTGCTGCTGGTGCAGTATGTCTAGAATCGTTCTGATATCTTTCCTTAGGCTACCTTCTAGGCTATCTAGTCTTATCGTTAAATCAGATAATTGATTTGTTAGTGATGATCTGTTAGAAAAAAAAAATATATATGAAAGTTTGGTAATATTCCGTAGAAGGCCACGCGGTCTCCATGGTTACCCTAGATTATCGCGATGCAAGTGCAGATGCGGCTGCTGCTGCGGCTGTTGCGGTTGATGGTGATGGTGAAGGTGGTGGTCACTGGCGTCCCTGCTACCGGTCATTGGTGCGCTATGGTGGAATACATCCTCCACGTCCGGACTGCACTTGAGATCGATGGGTCCACTGGGGCGACCGATGGGACCACCGTCCTTTCCACCGACGCAAATGCAGCCTCGATTGCTGACGGCGCTCAGCGTGACTGTATCCGGGGCAACTCCCTTCGGCGACTGGTGGTCACTGGGCGGACTGTGCTTGTGCGAGCTCTTGGGGCTCTCGTTTGGAGATGCTAGAATGGAGAGGTTGGCAGTGTGTTTACAGTGGACTTCAAAAGTACGAAAACTCTTCCAATAAACGGCAAGGTAACTAACAGAAAAAGACACCACTTAAATGTTTAGTTAACTCCTTCCTTCCATATCAGTTGTGTATGCATTCTAACAGGCATGTTCAGCGTATAGTATTCTTTTAGTATTTACAAGACTAGTTTCCATCACCATCGGGATTTTTTTGCTTGGAATTTTAGGATAGATTCAGACAAAGTAGGGGAAGTTTAAGGATTCGGGATCGGTTTTCCAATGTTCATGCTAATGATTGCATTATATTTCAAACAACTAAACAAACTCATCTAAACAGTGCCATGTAGATAGTGTGCTTATATAGATTACAACGAAGGTATTAATACTGATAGACTTAATTTCATCCAACTGAAATGGAAGTCGAAAAAATTAAGTGGCTTGGTTCAATGCAGTTGTTTCTAAACTATTTTTCTTTCTGGAACATTATCATATATTTGTTTCGCCGTCAGTTTCAAATGTGTCAGACAGTTTAGACAAGAGCTCTTATAACATGTTACAAAATCTCTCGACTTAATTTTCATAATGGCGTATTCGATGTTTTTCAATACATGACAGCTCAAAAACATCTCTCCTAATCGAATATGGAGATACCAGAGCAAAGTTGTTTCAGGAAAAAATAAGTGATAAGTAGACTTATGTCCAACAACTACTCGCTAGATGCGCATCTCCACAGAATAAACATCGTGGACAGCAACATCTGCCGGTGTGGAAACGGTTACGATGGCATCGATCACGCAGTTTGGCAATGTACGGATAATGCCGCCGCCAGACTTTTGAATACCTTTAAGGCCCAAGGAAGACAAGTTGGGAACCCGCGATATCTATTATATGGGTCATTCCAGCTCAAGTGGGTACACCACCTGTGGTCGAAGTCACCGATTCAAGCCAAACTTGGCCACAACGCTTATTTTGGCATTCTGAACAAACGCCTTTTTTTGATTTTGCTCTAAGGTGCCTAGATCCTTCCTGGCTACAATTTGAAGGTTTTCTAATGTTAATTCTTATTAGTGTAAAAAACTTTTTGGTTTTATTATAGTAACTACAATAAACAGATTGGTTACCGGCAGGTATTAACATTGTCAAAAAATTGCCTATTTTCACAATGGGCGGGATTTTTTATTTCTTAATACTTTGGGCTCAAATTTTCACCACACTTTGGAAATCTCTTCTACTTGATGTGTTTCCAAGGGCAAATGATTTGGACAAATAGTTTTTGAGATATGACCTTCAAGTTTGGATCAAATCGGTATCATCGACCACAACTTTTTTAAAATTCTGTACCCACTTGAGCTGGAATGACCCATATGCAGTGTTTCTGCAAATATCTAGTATCTGCATGTAATTCCTTTGTCTTTTGTCTTGCTTTAATAGTTTTTGTTTGTCTTGTCGGCGTCTCATCGTCACCCACTGGTCACCGTAGCTGGTCGAACTCCAGACGAAGCTAGAACCGCACTACCGTTCATACTGCCGGCAACGCTCTGATAAGACAACGAAACTTCACCCCCAAGCTCCTCCCCTGATCCTATCCTTCGACAATGTACTCCTCTAACCTCGGTAAGCCGCGAGTATTCGGCCCAACTCCCACTAGACATATAATTAAGTGAATTTTGTTACGAATTATCGGCTCCGTAAAGCTAACGCAATGAGGCCATTTTGAATTCAATATGGCGGCTTCCGATAGAAGAAAAACTTGGAAACACAGTCAAATACACCACAATATGAATATTTTTGGAATCGGGTGACATGTAGGGTCCAGAAATCCATGTCTGATGCTATTTTGAAATTCAATATGGTGGCTCCCGGTTACAGAAAAATAGAAAAATACAGGCGGGTTTTCTGTCCATACACGTCACTCCAATTCCAAAAATACCCATATTGGACAGAATTTCCAAGTTTTTTGCTAACGGAAAGCCACCATATTGAATTCAAAATGTCGTCAGCCATGCATTTCCGGTCTCTTCACATCACCACGATTGCAAAAATACCCATATTGAGGGGAATTTCATAGTATTTTTCAATTTTTCTGTAACTGGAAGCCACCATCTTGAATTAAAAAAGGCATTAGTTCCGGTCCCTATACGTCACCAAGATTCCTGAAATACTCATAAAGTGGTGTATTTGACAATATCCCAGTTTTATTCAAACGGTAGCCGTTATCTTCGATATCAAAATGGCGCCAGGCATGGATTTCTGGTCGTCACCTCGATTCCAAAAAATACCCCTAGGTAAGGAGTATTTGACAGAATTTCCATTTTTTTTCTGTAACTGGAAGCCACCATCTTGAATTTTAAAATGACCGCAGACATCGATTCTCGGTCCTTACACGTCACTCCGACTCTAAAAATACAAATATTGTGAGGTATTTGAGAGAATTTACATCGATGTCCGGTCCCTACACGTCATCAAGACTCCACGAATACCCATAATGTGGATAATTTGGCAGTAGTTCGCAGCTTTTCTCTAACCGGAAGCCGGCATATGGAATTCAAAATGGTTTCAGACATGGGTTATAAGGACTGGGTTCACCAACACAGCAAAAAATAAATTTTAATATTACATCCAAGAGGATGCACTTCAATCATGTCGAAAATCTCATGTAATTTTTATGGCCACACAAATAAACAAATGCAGTAAAAGCAACGTAATGTCAGCACTTGCCCTGTATTAATGATAATTTTGCCCTTTTTGGCAAGTAATATTACACCATATTTTCGACACGATTAAAGTGCATCCACTTTGATGTGATATTAAAATTATTTTTTTGCTGTGAAGATTCCAAAAATACACACATTGAGAGGAATTTGACTTAATTTTTAAGTTTTTCTCCAACCGGAAGCCGCCATTTTTAATTTCACAATGGCCGCAGACATCGATTTCCGGCCCTTACACGTAACCCCGACTTCAAAAATACCCATATGGTGCGATATTTAAGAAAATTTCTAAGCTTTTCTCTAACCGGAAGCCACCATATTGAATTCAAAATGGCTTCAGACATCGATTTCCGGTCCCTACACGTCATCAAGACTCCAAAAATACTCATTGAGAGGTATTTCACAGAATTTCCAAGTTTTTCTCGCACCGGAAGCCGCCATATTGAATTTCAAAATGGCCTCAGACATCGACTTAGGGTCCGTACACAGCACCCCGTCTACAAAAATACCAATATGGTGAGGTATTTGACAGAATTCCCAAGTTTTCTCTAACCGGAAGCCACCATCTTGAATTTCAAAATGGCCTCAGACATCGATGTCCTGTCCCTACACGTCACCCCGATTCCAAAAATACCCATATTGTGGGTAATTTTGCAGTATTTTCAAGTTTTTCTCTAACCGGAAGCCGCCATCTTGAATTTCAAAATGGTCTCAGACATCGATTTAGTGTCCGTACACAGCACCCCGTCTCCAAAAATACCAATATGGTGAGGTATTTTGCAGTATTTCCAAGTTTTCTCTAACCGGAAGCCACCATCTTAAATTTCAAAACGGAATCGTACATCGATGTCCGGTCCCTCGAAAAATACCAATATTGTGGGATGTTTGACTGAATTTCCAAGTTTTTTTTTCCAACTAGAAGCCGCCATCTTGAATGTCAAAATGCTGTCAGACATCGGTAAAACATTTCACCAAGATTCCAAAAATAACAAAATTGTGGGTTATTTGGCAGTATTTCCCAGTTTTTCACTAACCGGAAGCCGCCATATTGAATTTCAGAAGGACGTCAGACATCGTTTTCCGGTCCCTACACGTCACCCGGATTCCAAAAATACCCATATTGAGGGATACTTGACCGAATTTCGAAGTTTTCCTTTAACCAGAAGCCGCCATCTTGAATGTCAAAATGCCGTCAGTCATCGATTTCCGGTCCTCAACGTCACCCTGACTCCAAAAATACCCATATTGAGGAGTATTTGACAGAATTTACAAGTTTTTCTCGCACCGGAAGCCGCCATATTGAATTTCAAAAAGGCTTAACATCGATTTCCAGTCCCTACACGTCACCAAGATTCCAAAAATACCCATGTTGTTGGTAATTTTGCAGTACTTCCCAGCTTTTCTCTAACCGGAAATAAAAATAACGTCAGGCATTGATTTCCGGTCCCCGTACGTCACCCAGATACCAAAAAGTACCCATTTTGTGCGGTATTCGACAAAATTTTCCAAAAACTTTTTAGGAAATAAATCGCAAATAATGGTTTTTTACGTCTGTTTCGATTTACGAACCGCCGGTGTGGTTCGTAATTGGAGGAATACACTGGAACCTGGAACCTAATTAAAAAAACCACGATTGGAAAAAAAAATCTTCGTCCGCAATCGAAAACAACAAACAGCCAAAACTGAAAGGGCCGAACATTTTCAATCCATTTAAATGATGTTTTTATGCATGATTTCGAACATGTGAACGCGGATTATGTTTAAGAAAATAATAAAATATTTTAATTTACCTTGTTTGACATGAAATACGACTCGAAACGCATGTTCATAGTAAAAATAAAAACCTGCGATTAAACTGATAAATGAACCTACAAAAACTGCGTAGGCCCTTTTCGAAAAACAAAGCAAACTGACATTGCGGCTAATGAACACCGAGTCACTTTGCAACTCACCTAAGAATGAACCTCTCACGTCACCCGAGTCGACTGTCGGAATAGAGTGAGAAGAGTCATGTGACTGCGAGGTGACAATTGTCGTCTCACCTCATTCGCCACGCAGAATAACCTTGATTGCTACTTTCGGCACATTTTTTTTATTATTTGACCACCGAAGTCGATTCGTAAGACCCTTAGAAAAAGGTTGAAATAAACCAAACATAATGTAAAGGTGTTTTATTATGTTCACTAAATACTTAGAATTTATACTACCAAGAACATATATAACTGAAAATGATACATTTTATTTTTATTTTTTTAGCTGGAGGCGGCTGGGTTCGATTTCCG